ACTCCGTCATCAGCAGTGCCCTGGAGTATTGCAAATCATTATTATTATATCTCTAAAACATGCCAATTATTTTTGAGTGTCCTTTGGATTCACAGATCTTATTACTGACCTATAAACTGTCCACTGTTGGTGTAGCTCAGACTAGAACAAATCAGAATCTCCTTATTCTGATTATTGGATTCCCTCCTGCAAAAGTCAATTGCCACTGGGGCTTTTTCTACCAGCGTCAAGGATAACATCTGCTGCAGGAACCATCTTTCATCTCGATAATCCAATAACTCAAGAAAAAGATTATTTCAGTGTAAATCATCTTCTGTGACATTGTGTCACGCCTCCAGTTTACTTACCTGGTTTATCATTACCATCTACATTGATTGCACAGCACACTGCCTATCTGTGATGTGATTTTCAAACACAGTTACTCAGGAGAACTGCCAGAATCAGGGAAAGATTAAGTACGAGATTCGTGATCAACAAATGTGAGACAGATTATAAATCTAGTTAAACAGATGGAACTGTTTTTCCATTTCCCAGATATAATATAATAATATAATCCTTGCATTTGATATAACGCCTTATCACATCTTTGAAACACCTCAAAGCGCTTCACAAAATATACTGTGAAGTGAATTGACTGCATATTTTCTGGACGAAACGCGGCAGCCAATTGTGCACAGCAGCATCCCACAAACAGTTGTGGGATGAGTGACCAAATTATTATTTTTTTAATTTTATTTTTGAAGGGATTATTACTCCTTGAAAAGCGATCCATCAATCGACTAACAACCATGTTCCATTTGACTGCTAAGCAAAACAGAGGCGTGTGGATTAAGAAAACTTGTCTAAGAATTCACCCAACCCGGGAATCGGACCTGGGTCCTTTCACTTGCCAGGCGAGTGCTCTAACTAATACACTACAGGACTCCGTGATCATGCTAGCAATTTGAAATGCTTAACAGTGAACTTCAGAGGTGATTGAATATCAGGTGAAGTGGTTTTGCTTTCCATTAAGCATATTTTCCATATGACGTGACATTACATCGCGGATGTAAGTTACAACTGCTTAAACAAAGCTTAATGGTAGTTGCAATAAAGTTAGCATTTTTTTAATTAAAAGTATTCAACAAACAAACATTTCTACCTCCGGTTTCAGCAAGTCTTGATTCTTATCCCAATTTTTGCTAAGCCCTTTACTCTGAATGTCAATTAACTCAGCCAAGGTTCATATTATAAGCTGGCAACCTCCTCCACTGAAATGTGTGCTCACATTCTTACTCAGTTCAGCTCAGTAGAGGAGAATGTGAAAGTACGGAAGAATATAGTTCCACCCCTGCAAATTAACCAGCAGAATTCAAGACGGACAAGCAACTATACTTGAAATTCCACTTTTGCTCTGCTTACTTTGTTACTGGGACTAGCATGCATGTGATTTCTATGAAGACGTTGAAGAATGATAAGGATCTGCTGCTAATCAGATTGTAGAGTGGGCTTGGTTTGGACATGAAAGTTGTCACTGGGAATGGAGGCGACAGCAGTTAGGCAAAGTTCAGCAACAGTATTCATGTTGTAAAAATGACATCATTCAAATGGACTGCATTACCACAGTACATGAAGGTACTAAGATTTGATGTTTGAAGCTCAATAACAAAGGTGTTCAATCAATTTCCATGCAATAAATAAACAGACTGATGACCCACTGTAGTGGTTTTGAATATTTACATGAGGAACAATAATGGATCCAAAGTCATGTTCTCACTTGTTGACTCGGTGTTGATTGAAATAAGATAAAATGTCTTCCCTTTTGCTAGAATCCCATCAAGCGTATTTTATGCAGATAGAGGATACGAAAGTGATCAGATGATATGGAAATTGCTTCATGAGAGAGCTTGAGCTCAGCGGGATATTGACTTTTCCAGAAGGTAACATCTGATGTGGCCACACATTGAGAGCATTTGATTGCAACGTTTTCAGAAATACAATGTTTCTCAGAAACCGCTAAAAAGAAACTTTTTTTTTCAAACTGGGCAAGACTCCATATCTTAAGATTTTTCAGTGAAGAGTCCGTCCGCTCAATGTGTTCACCGAACTTGTTTTCAGTGTTTCGGGAAAAACTTAGGGCAAACCTAGGGAAAGTGACTGTATGTGAAGTTGATCAAAAGTGAACTTTGAATGCTGTGCGTGTACAATCTAATCTATTCCAATCAAAATGTCCCACACAAGTCTGCTCTTATGAACTAATCCTTGCTTGCAGCTGCCAGCACAAACATACAAATTCAAGATCGCAAAGTCAAAGATATTTACCAACAGAATATGTTCTGTACTCAATTCCTGTTAAACCCTTTCGATTATGTGTATGTTTATGTGCAGCCAATTTGGGGGATTCTCATTCTGCTTAATTTCCCACAAAATGCACACTTCAGTATATTCAGTGAAGCGCTTTGAGACATCTCAATGACGTGATAAAGCACTGAAACAAATTGATTTATTATTATTACTTATTACTCCTCTTGATGTTTGTTATTGCTGTAGCTCTTTCTGATATTTAAACGACATCAAACAAATTTATCTTGCACCTTACATTCGTATTGTGTGTATTATTACCTTTATATATTGGTGCCTTTTATTTTCTGCGCGTGTGTGTTTGTGTGAGGGAGAGGGGTGTGCGCGTGTGGGGGGGTAGTGTTATGATTGCTTCTGTGTGTGTGTGTGTGTGTGCGTGTGTGTGGAGGATAGTGTTGTGATTGTTTGTGTGTGCGCGTGAGGAAGGGGGGAATGTTGTGTGTGTGTGTGTGTGTGTGTAGTGGTAGCCCTTTATCCCTTCCCTGGACACCACCAAAACTTTAATTAAATTGTGGACGGTGGTAATGCTATTTGCCTAGCTCTTTGTACTCCCAAAAGAGCAAGGCGTTTCCAACAACCAGTCCTTGGACGCTGTGTTTCTTGAGCTCTAAGTGGTTGAGACGCACCATCTACATTTCACGAGAGCCAAGAATTCATTTCATTTAGCTTCGGAAGCTTCTGACAGTTGCACATTAAATTTAATCCTTTTGACTTTTAGAAAATGTTCTCGAGCACTCATATTAAACCACAATATGAAAAACCGGGATTCGAAAAGCACTTAAGAGAAAATGTCATTTGAAGATGAATCTCCTTGAAATGAGAGTGAAGTTAAAAATCATAGAAGCGGTCCACAATCAAAGCAAATGCCTCGGAAAAGTAGTCCTGTGTTCCTGAGAAACAATGCAACCGGTTTCAGTATAATTACAAAGGGCTTAAAAGTAAACTAAGAGAATTTTGATCCGAGGAAAATTTGTGAAAAAAAGTGTAAATTCAGCAGCACATTATCTGTGCGGATTTTTTTTCCACAATGAACTTTAGTACTCATGATGATGAGTCCTCAGTGCTGTTAAAAGCTCTACAGAAGCTCGTGGAGTCCTGGAGGGAGGGTGGGGGGGAAGAGTGTATAGTTTGTCCCTCGTCCCATCCGCTCTACCATCGCTTTAAGCGCTTTGGGACGTCCTCCCGACGTGAAAAGCGCTATATCAAATGCAAGGATTATTATTATTATTATTATTATCGGTGGCCGGACCTTCAGCCACTACGCCTGAAACTCTGGAACTCTCTCCCTCAATCCCTCCGCCTTGCCCCCTCCCCACCTTCAAATCCTGCCTAAAGACCTTCCTTTCGGTAATGGTAACCTCCTCCACTCCCTCTCCCTCTGGCTCAGGGTCAGACTCCGCCACACTGTGAAGCTCTCCAGGATGCTATCCTGAGTGAAGGGTGCTGTAGATATTTGCAAGCTGTTGTTTTTGTACATTTCCTAGAAAAAGAAACTCATCCTTGTGTCCTCTTTCAATGAGATAAACTTATGCCAAAACAGCAGTCTACATTCAAAGCAAAGTAAAAGTTTGAGAAACGATTTTTTTTCTCCATGTTAATTGTCTTTCTCGTTGGTAAAAAGTTTGAAAGGAAACATGTTGTGGAATAGATTTTCAGCTCGAGCTGAAATATCAATCAACTCATTGAACAAAAAGACCTGTATGAAATGAGTGGTTAATAAGAGATTGAGCACTGATTGATGTTTGCTCTGTGGAACATGATGTTTCCTGCTTAGCTGAAGCCATGGGAATCTCAAGCTAAGAAGAGGAACCAGTCAAGGATGGAAAATATCAATGTAAGGTTATGCCGATAATGTGGAGTTTCACTAAATTTACTTGTCATCAAGGCAGCGAGGAATAATTTCTTCAGAAACTTCAAGAAATTGAATAGATTTTTATACAGCGGATCATACACAGGCTGTAGATGAAATAGACTGGATGGTCTGAATGGCCTCTTCTGACCCGTTCAGGCAACAGAGAGAAGACCGTATAAGAAGCTCCCGGTTAGGAACTCAGTACCAAAGGTATTATCAACCCACGATACAATCAGATTCTTACAATGTGTAGAATCTGCCAGAACAGATTCAAGATTTTAAGTGCAATGTATTAAATAAATCTTAAAATGTATATAAACAAAGCATTTGTTAATACGAGTTCAGTAAATCACTACTTCAGAACAGACTATATAATGGTCTGTTTAGCTTATGCAGTCCCATATCACTTCTATTTTTGGTAATCTACTACCCATTGTGTATCTTATGTGTATTTCTGCATTGATAGTATTCCACTGAAATGTAAATAAACAAGAGAATCAGGCAAAGATTGGTCAAAGTTCTATGCAAAGCATAATAATAAGCCTTGCGCTTGATATTGCGCTTATCAAGTCATTGAGATGTCTCAAAGTGCTTCACAAAATATACTGTATATTTTGTGGGCAAATTGTGACAGCTATTTGCACACAGCAGTGTCCCACCAACAGTTGTAATTCGTGTGATCAAATTATTATTAATTAAAGTATGTTTTTAAAGGGATTATTACCCCCAGAAAGTGATCTTCCAATCGACTTAACAACCAGGTTCCTACTTACTGTTAGGTAACCATACATAGCCATCACAAAACTGGTTTTGTTAAAATGTTTATTGATGTACTGTATTAGAGTAGTAAAAAGGAGGCATTCAAAAAAGTTAGTAGCTCAGTACATTGATGCAAGAAAATTTATGAAGTGTTTTATAAAACATTCAATTATCAATCAAAAGGAATCAAATGTAAATCTCAATCCGATCACCATTCAACAGTAGGTGCATTGCATTTCAAGTACAGTTTCCCTTCTCCTTTGACCCTCCCTCACCCACCCATTCCCTATAGAAGTATTCAGGTGGAGATAAAATTCCATGGAGACCAATTATCAACTGGTTATCTGGCTCAGGTGCACATTCTTCACTGCGATTACTGCTGGCTATTTGAACATAGGTTCAAGCGTCTAAACAATCAACCCCCTCCAATGATATCCTGCTCACACATGCACATTGCCCAGGGAGTAAAGGTTGGTGGTGGTTTACTGGATAGTAATAGTGTAGGATTTGGACCCGAACTGGGGGTTGGGATCAGGAGCAGTGGTGGGCAGGGAGGATAGGGGTAGGAGGCTGACAGTCGAAGAGAAGGGTGATGATACAGGCCTTGAAGGAGGCAAGGGAGGGGGTGAGGCGGAAAGAGGAGGTAGTCTAAGCTACATGGTTTATTTTGCAAGGAATAATCAATCCAAAGCAATGGAGGCCACATGGCTTCTGTCACTTCCAATTTGTTGGCCTTGGGATTCCCTCTCTGGGAAATATCCGTACAGCCTGTAGGAGCAGGCTTAAACCTCAAGCTAGCCAATAAAATCATGGAACCTGCACAACCTCTTGGAATGCTTTTGCCACCCCAATATGTACCGCAAAGCACTGCATCTTAAAAAGAATGAACACCAGCATTTATTTTCAACTGAATTGCAACACAAGATGGGCACTGATTCACGCACAAATAAATCTGATTATCACCCAAGCTTTCAGATTCCCACCAACCACTGAACATCAACCAAAGTATTTTAATCACCTTTACAAAGTTACAAAGATTATACTGAAGAAGGTTACACAGGGCATGCAGTGGAATAAGAGACAGAATAGTGTGTGCGTTGAAACGGCTGTTGCATTTCGCTCAAAGGTACATTCCTGTTTTCAGCACTCTATAGGCCATTGAGATGGTCACTCCCATGCCAATCAACCAGCTGCCACCTCTGCCCGGCTGGGGGAGAGGCAACAGATAAGCAATACTGTGGAATATTCTGGAAACAGCAAAAGTGCGGAAGTGCAACAAAGCCGAGCTGAGGTCGGGGCCAGTCATTGCGTACAGCAGCCCGATGCCAATGAATGGAACTATGTTTTCCAGATCATTTTGGTGACATCTGCAAGTAGTTAAAAACAGAGATAATGTCTCATCTTCATATGCAATGGAACAGTTAGATAGTCAGAGTACACATAAGGACATAAGAATCAGCTATGGCGAAACAAGACCAAAGGCCATCTAGTTCGCCCTCCACCATCCTGGCAGTCGCTTGACATGTCATGTCCCAAACTATGTACTGTATCCCCAGATATTATTTTCGCGCAGTAATCTGTCTCATTTGTTCTTGAAACAAACAACAATTTCGTCTCCCTAGCGAGCCTGTTCCATAAGCTTACTACTCGCTCACTGAAGCAGTGTTTCTGCAGATTTGTTCTGAATTTACCCCCACCCACCCCACCCTCCACACGCAAGATTTAACTTAAGAATCACAGAAAATTGATCCATATAAATGGCAAGTTATTTATAAAGGGTTGGCATTATGTGTCACTTATAATTTGCACTTCATTCTTGTTCATCTTGTTCAAGCCTTCATCACATCCAGGCTCGACTATGCAAACGCCCTGCTTGTCGGCCTTCCCAACTCCTCCCTCCTCAGGCTGCAGATAATCCAGGACTCTGCTGCCCGTGTCCTCTCCCGCACCAAACTCCGTGACCCCATCTCCCCCACTCTCGCCCGACTCCACTGTCTCCCTCTCCTTCAGAGGATCCAGTTCAAGATCCTGGTCCTCACCTACAAAGCCCTCCATGGCCTCGCCCCACCCTACCTCTGCGACCTCCTAAACCCCTACCGACCCGCCCGTTCCCTCCGCTCAGCCGGCTCTGTCTGCCCCACGTTCCCCGACCCACCCGCCCCACCATTGGCGGGAGAGCCTTCAGCCACTCTGCCCCCAACCTCTGGAATTCCATCCCCCAATCACTCCGCCTCGCCCCCTCCTTAGCCTCCTGCAAGTGCCGCCTCAAGACCCTCCTCTTCGACCATGCCATCGGCCACCCCCCTTCCCCCAGTTCGGTTGAACTCTGTCCAACGACTTGGGACATCCTCCCGGCGTGAAAGGCACTGTACAAATGTAATTTGTTGTTATAACAAACGATTAAGTAATAATGTAGCATTCAGCAAAGATACAAGCTCAGGAATTTTACTAAAGATGGGTATTAAACAGTACTTTGTAGAAATCACAGTGTAATACAGTCGATCGTGTTATAACACAAGTCCATATGTAGCACAAGTCGGATATGGATCTACACTATGCCAGAATTGTGGTACACTTCAGCAATGGTTGTCAACTTCCTGACCATGCGAGCAGGATGCAGGAACAACAACAACAACAAAATTACGCTTATATATCGCCTTTCACGTCAGGAGGATGTCCCAAGGCGCTGGAAGCTCTCCAATCAGAAAGCAACATGAGTAGCAACCAAGTAGTGGCACAGCAGTGATTTTTATTTCATGAACTCATTATAAATTATAATAGTGTCTGATTTTATGAACCCAAAACACTGAGTTATAACAGAGCAGGGCTGTAATCCTGTGAATTGCTAATTTATTGGTAATGGATTTGAAATACAGCCAATTCTACCTAATGCGAAGCTGTGCCTATCTAAATTCTGGCAGTATTGGATACTTTTAAAATGTAGTCGTGTACTATGATGAACAAGATATAATGTTATTTGCCGTTAAACATCCAGCGTAAAAGAAATATATATAAATTCGATTTGGGCAAATCCAAGAATTTTTTTTCTACGTCTTTGTATTCCTGTTTCAAATCACAATGTATGTTGAAATACATCAGCAGACATTCCTAGTCCAGCTGTATCTTAACGTCCGACGTGTTGATGGATTTTTTTGGAGGTTGAGAAGATTGACTTTGTTACCAGTTCTGCCTGAAAGGATGCAGTCCAGAAGAACAATGTATAGGCACTGAAGTACAGCAAAGTCTCATTCAGTGAGCACTAACAATCTAAGCTATAAGTAACATAATGGGATAGTGCCACGCCATGACTTATGACTATTCAGCTATTAGAGAAAATGTAAGTATTAATCTTCCCCCGTTTAGTGCATAAAGACTAGTGGAATGAACTGCAGATTAATGCAAGACACTGCTTTAGTCTTAAAAAATATAATTGCCATCAGGGGGTCAGACTAAGTCACTTACAGGCCACTTAAAGACCTGTTTTTGTGTTACTGACAGCAGTTCTGACTCCCGCTATACAGTGATGACAATAATGATAATAATCTTTGCATTTTGATACAGCACCTCATCACATCTTCGAGACGTCTCAAAGCGCTTCACAGAATATACCGTAAAGTGAATTCACTGTATATTTTGTGGGCAAAACGTAGCAGCCAATTGCACACAGCAGCGTCCCACAAACAGTCGTGAATTGAATGACTAAATTATTATTTATGCAACTGATGGCACCAAGGGTCTGATATACTATACAACATAAAACAGCCTACACTGCTGAATACAACAAAGAACTTCACAGAAAGAGACAGCAATCGTGACAACAAATGTATTACTAACTTTTGAACTAAACTGGGCATTTTTCTCCAGTTGTGTTGTATTTCTGCAGTAAGCACAGAAATTTACTTTAAAGAAGTCATTTGATGGCTAAAATGCCCCTTTCTCCCTTAAGGAAAAAACATTTACCGCCACATTAATAATAATCCTTGCATTTGACATAGTGTTTGAGACGTCTCAAAGTGCTTCACAGAATATATTGTAAAGTGGAGTGACTGTGTATTTTGTGGGTGAAACACAGCAGCCAACTGCGCACAGCAGTGTCCCACAAAGAGGTGTGGTTTGAGTGACCCAATTTCTTTTTTCCATGAGTCCATAGAGGCCAATATTTTACCAGCCACTGTGAAAAATGTTGCCACGAGCATTTGAGTTCCATGAAGCTGTTACAAATATAGTACTGTGCTTACTTAATGCTTCGAGGCGATCAAATGTGCCAGATGTATGGTAGCTGGGGGAGGAAGTGTGGTTTTTCGTATCATGTTTGCAGAAGATGAAAACTTATTCTCCCACAAAATATACTGTCAATTCACTTTACAACAGATTCAGTGAAGCGCGACAACGTGATAAGATTCTTATATCAAACTCAAGGATTACTACTATTATAAATATCAATAATTCTTCTATTTCAACACCAACTGGGTAATGGTGCATCCTGGTGCTAATTTTCTGTAGCATTACAGTTTGTAAAATAATTTAATTTGAATGCATGGATTATGATTTTTTTGGTCAGGTGTCTTTTGACACGTGTGGAAATCTATCTCCGCGCTTAAACCAAACAGAATTCCACACGAGTCACCTACATCCAGAGATTCCCACGTCTCCCCAGAAGGATACATCCTGCTTAACTAAATCTGCAGAGTTGAAGCACAGGTGGGCAAGAGCTAAGGTTTGGGGGCCCCCCCGAGAGCGTGTGTTGGGGTTCTGCTGGAGTTTAACCGGCTACAACTGCATAGCTTGCCATTGAAAGTACCGCCTGGCAAGCTTCCCGCTGCTTATCTAGGAACACCCTACCCCTAAGCAGGGTTGATAGAAGCCGAGTGGAAAGAATTCCTACCCTACACACATATATACAGAGAGAGAGACAGAGCCAGACAGACAGATGGACATATATATCTATATATATATATAGAGAGAGAGAGATGGCTGGTGTGTTATCAGTAGTATCTTGGGAGTACTGCGGACCTGCTTGGCTCAGGAGCCAGACTACTGAGGTCACTACATCCGACAACCCTATCCCTCCGCCTTGCCCCCTGCTCCTCCAACTTCAGATTGTGCCTGAAGACCTTCCTCTTCAACCGTGCCTACAGTCACCTTCCCCCCCTCCCCCAAGCTCGGCGTCAACTCCTCCACCGTCCAGCGCTCTGGGACGCTAACCAGCGCGAGGAGCGCTGTATAAATACAACTTGTTGTTGTTGTTGACCCCATTCCGACATCCCATTGCCAAGTATCTTGCCTTGGAGCCAGAATCATTGATTCACCGAAGTCCAAAAAATGTTACGCAGAAAACTACTGCGATAATTTTTCTTTAAGACTCACCTTCTTACACGTTCAACATCTGGATCAGTCTTCAAGTATTTCTTGTTTTCCTCACCCTTGCCCACGTGCGCTCTAGCATCTTCAGGGTTGGAAAACGCCTTTGAATTAGAATATAAAAATAGACATTACATTAAATGCATGGGTTATTATTCACATTGAAATGTCTCGCAGCACTTCGGTTGATGTGTAAAGCTCGGTGTCTGGATCTCTGTACATCTGTAGGAATTGTGTGTCTGTATTTTTTATTGATCAAAATTTCGCCCACAAAATATACGGTTGACTCACTTTATAGAATATTCTGCGAAAAGCTGGAAGACGTGATAAGGTGCTTTGTCAAACGCGGGGATTGTTATTATTGCATTTTTAAAAAAATAAACGTTACGTTGCTGCTGTAGGCAAAAGCGGAGGCCAAGTTGAACGCAGCAATGTCCCGCAAACAGCCGTGTAGACAGCAGAGAGGTCAAGGAGAGGGAGAGAGAGAGAGAAAGAGAGAGAGAGAAAGAGAGAGAGAGAGAGAGAGAGAAAGAGAGAGAGAATGAGAGTACAACATGATGACTTTGCAGAGGGCTGTCTCAGTGCTGAGAGCAGAGTAGAGGTGGGGACGGAATGGGGAAGTGTAAATAAAGTAAACTCAATCCCTGGTGGAATTCCTCTCCGTGCACGTCATGAATGGCGATCTGGCCACTCGAACGTTCTGGGACGCACCCCCCCACCCCCCCCACCCCCCCCACCCCACCCCCGCCCGAGGGGCGCGGTGTCAGTGCACGTTGTCGTCGTCGTAGTAGTTGTTGTTGTGGTCGGGTGCCGTTGTAGTCGTTGTTGTCGGGTGCCATCCGAGGGGCTGTCAAGAGTCACCCCCCACCACCGGAAATCAGAAGAAAGAAAGTTTGCAGGGGAAAGGCATTGGAGTAACGCAGCCTCCCTGGTGACCCCCCACCCCCCCCCCACCCCCCACCCCCCCCTGAGTTTGGTTGTTACTCCTACCTTACGAGTAACCCTGAAATACCCAGTTAAGGGCCCCATAAGCAACATTTTGAGTAACACGACGGTGGCATAAGTGGCGTAAGCCTGAAACACATCACTCTCCATCAACTCAGAAGGTTCCCCCATCTTCAGACCAGGAGTGGATTTAACTCTGAAAAGGAAATGAGAATGTGAGGCTGTGAACTCAACTCCAGTCAGAGAGAGAGAGGGCGACACACACACACACACACAGGGAGAGAGAGAGGGAGAGACACACACACACACACACAGGGAGAGAGAGAGGGAGAGACACACACACACAGGGAGAGAGAGAGGGAGAGACACACACACAGGGAGAGAGGGAGAGACACACACACAGGGAGAGAGAGGGAGAGACACACACACACACACAGGGAGAGACACACACACACACACACAGGGAGAGACACACACACACACACACACACACAGGAGAGAGACACACACACACAGGGAGAGAGACACACACACACACAGGGAGAGACACACACACACACACACAGGGAGAGAGACACACACACACAGGGAGAGAGACACACACACACACACAGGGAGAGAGACACACACACACAGGGAGAGAGACACACACACACACACACAGGGAGAGAGAAACACACACACACACAGGGAGGCACACACAGGGAGAGAGAGACACACACACACACACACACAGGAAGAGACACACACACACACACACACACACAGGGAGACACACACACACACACAGGGAGACACACACACACACACACAGGGAGAGAGAAACACACACACACACAGGGAGAGAGACACACACACACACACACAGGGAGAGAGACACACACACACACAGGGAGAGAGACACACACACACACACACACAGGGAGAGAGAGACACACACACACACACAGGGAGAGAGACACACACACACACAGGGAGAGACACACACACACACACACAGGGAGAGAGACACACACACACAGGGAGAGAGACACACACACACACACAGGGAGAGAGAGACACACACACACACACACAGGGAGAGAGAGGGGGAGAGGGAAGGAGACAAAATGTAGAAGGAAAGTAAAATACGGAGTCAACCAACAACTGCGACTTTCACTCTTTACCCAAAACCCACAGCACAGCCCTAAACACACACTACACACATTAAACACACACTACACACACACACACACACTACACACACACACACACACTACACACACACACACACACTACACACATTAAACACACAATACACACACACACACACTATACACTAAACACAAGTTAGAGACAAACTCACACAAAACTACGAGCGCAATAATCAGCACTAACTCTCTCTCTCTCTCTGTCTCTATCTCAGGGCCAAAGGGCCAAAGGTTTCGCTGTTGTTGCTCTCACTGCTGTTGGGAGGAGATTTGTCAGAAAATCTCTTGGCCAAAGCAATGGTTATTGCGCTGTACTACTGCACACCACCACTCTACACCACCGCACACCACCACTCTACACCACCGCACACCGCCACTCTACACCACCGCACACCACCACTCTACACCACCGCACACCACCACTCTACACCACCGCACACCACCACTCTACACCACCGCACACCACCACTCTACACCACCGCACACCACCACTCTACACCACCGCACACCACCACTCTACACCACCGCACACCACCACTCTACACCACCGCACACCACCACTCTACACCACCGCACACCACCACTCTACACCACCGCACACCACCACTCTACACCACCGCACACCACCACTCTACACCACCGCACACCACCACTCTACACCACCGCACACCCCCACTCTACACCACCGCACACCACCACTCTACACCACCGCACACCACCACTCTACACCACCGCACACCACCACTCTACACCACCGCACACCGCCACTCTACACCACCGCACACCACCACTCTACACCACCGCACACCACCACTCTACACCACCGCACACCACCACTCTACACCACCGCACACCACCACTCTACACCACCGCACACCGCCACTCTACACCACCGCACACCGCCACTCTACACCACCGCACACCGCCACTCTACACCACCGCACACCGCCACTCTACACCACCGCACACCGCCACTCTACACCACCGCACACCGCCACTCTACACCACCGCACACCACCACTCTACACCACCGCACACCCCGCACACCACCACTCTACACCACCGCACACCACCACTCTACACCACCGCACACCACCACTCTACACCACCGCACACCACCACTCTACACCACCGCACACCACCACTCTACACCACCGCACACCACCACTCTACACCACCGCACACCACCACTCTACACCACCGCACACCACCACTCTACACCACCGCACACCGCCACTCTACACCACCGCACACCACCGCACACCGCCACTCTACACCACCGCACACCACCACTCTACACCACCGCACACCACCACTCTACACCACCGCACACCACCACTCTACACCACCGCACACCGCCACTCTACACCACCGCACACCGCCACTCTACACCACCACACACCGCCACTCTACACCACCGCACACCACCACTCTACACCACCGCACACCACCACTCTACACCACCGCACACCACCACTCTACACCACCGCACACCACCACTCTACACCACCGCACACCACCACTCTACACCACCGCACACCGCCACTCTACACCACCGCACACCACCACTCTACACCACCGCACACCACCACTCTACACCACCACTCTACACCACCGCACACCACCACTCTACACCACCGCACACCACCACTCTACACCACCGCACACCGCCACTCTACACCACCGCACACCGCCACTCTACACCACCGCACACCGCCACTCTACACCACCGCACACCGCCACTCTACACCACCGCACACCGCCGCACACCACCACTCTACACCACCGCACACCACCACTCTACACCACCGCACACCGCCGCACACCACCACTCTACACCACCGCACACCACCACTCTACACCACCGCACACCGCCACTCTACACCACCGCACACCACCACTCTACACCACCGCACACCACCACTCTACACCACTGCACACCACCACTCTACACCACCACTCTACACCACCGCACACCACCACTCTACACCACCGCACACCACCACTCTACACCACCGCACACCGCCGCACACCACCACTCTACACCACCGCACACCACCACTCTACACCACCGCAAACCGCCACTCTACACCACCGCAAACCGCCACTCTACACCACCGCACACCACCACTCTACACCGCCGCACACCGCCACTCTACACCGCCGCACACCGCCACTCTACACCACCGCACACCTCCACTCTACACCACCGCACACCGCCGCTCTACACCACCGCACACCGCCACTCTACACCACCGCACACCGCCACTCTACACCACCGCACACCCCCACTCTACACCACCACTCTACACCACCGCACACCGCCACTCTACACCACCGCAAACCGCCACTCTACACCACCGCAAACCGCCACTCTGCACCACCGCACACCGCCACTCTGCTCCTCTCTACTCTACACTGAAGGCAAACGTTTCTTCTCTCTGTGACACTAAAGGCCAAATGTTGAGCTGCTCGAGGAGCAAACCTTCAGCCTTCGCTTCCCTGCACTGAGCTCCCAGTGAAGCCACCGCAGCCAAGAGAGGAAGGAGTGTGTCTGTGCCACCCAACCTGACGGGATGTTGACTTGCTCTCCTCCCCTTCACCCCATCCCCCTCCTTCCCCTCTACCCCACCCCAGCCCCTCCCCCCCCAACCCTTTCCAGGCTCTTCAGGGGCTTCAGTTTTGACACAAACCATTTTGGTGTCTCAGGACAGAGGAATGTCACTGAGCCGGTTGCCAATGACCCCCAGGCCACATTCCCTCATGGTTGCCAGATCAGTGGCCAGATTCCTCGTGGACTATGTTTTCTGTTTGGTCAGCCAGGTGTCGTGACACACGCAGAAGCAGAAGCCCGTCGCCGTGTCGATATTCCCGATATATTTATTTCAGAGGAAATCACGCACGTTAAGAGCAAGCCCAATGCCTTCGCATGAATTGTCCTCAATTTGGATTGGAAACGGGATGTGAGTTGGGATCATGCAAAATGCGATAAAAGCAGAAGTCGCTGGGAACACTCAGCGGGTCAGGCAGCATCTATGGAGAAAGGAAAGTGAGTCAACGTTTCGGGTCCACGACCCTTCATCGGAACTGGGTGCACGTTGGGAGGGAGAGGCTTTCAAGGGCTAACAGAGTGGGGGAGGCAGGACAAGGAAGCCACACGGGGTAGAGGACAGGGGATGATGGGTTCAAGAGATGTTCGTGATGCAAAATGCAATGTCGCCCCTGCCCGCCCCACCATCGGCAGGCGGGCCTTCAGCTTTTCTACCTCCACTCTCTGGAACTCCACCCCAGAGTCACTTCGCCTCGCCCCTCCCTTGTCTCCTTCGAGTGCCATCTCAAGCCCTTCCTCTTTGACCATGTATACCGGTGTGGACTGAGGGATTGATGACTGTGCTTCAGGACCAGCAATTTGTGCTGATTGATCAAAGCCAAACAATAATATTGGCCAAAAGTGACTTAAACTACAGACATCCCAAGCAAATTATTCCATACCCTAGGAACCCTCCGGTAGAAAAAAGAGAGAAAGACAGAAAGAGAGAGAGAGAGGGAAGATGCTCTTTTGAACTTCTATTACCCGTTATTCACAATCTTGAACTCATGCCCTCTGGTCCTCAAATCCCCTATTAGCAGAGAAAAGGTTTTCATGATTAATTCTCTCAAATGCTTTCATTAACTTAAAACACTTCTTTAATAATAATAATAATAATAATAATCCTTGCATTCGATATAGTCCCTTATCTCATCGTTGAGACATCTCAAAGAGCTTCACAGAATAGATGGTAAAGTGGAGTGACTGTGTATTTTGTGCGCTATCACCCCACAAGCTTCTCTGGTCCAACGGAAAATGTTTTAATCGCTGCAGCGTCTCCTCATAACTATGTAGCCTCCTCTTACAATTACTTTCTTGACACTTGTCATGTTCTATGTATTTCAGACAGCAGTGGCAAGAGTTCTGACACCTAGCGATAAAAGCTGCAAATTATCTCTTCCGAGTAGTTTGTGATTGCTGTCAGGACAATGGAAAAGATTCACTCTGAAACTTTTACAACTACATATTTCTTTGTTAAACTTCACCCTCTCTCGCGACTGAAGTTATTTTGATTTTGCTTTGAGGAGCTACAACTTTGCAGAACATTTCTGGAACATATTAAATGGATGGTTAGAGTCCATGATAGAGGAAGGAGCCTGTTCAAGTCTGGCAGAGGAAATAGGATTGATGCAGATAACAATAATAATAAAAATAATAATCTTTGCATTGGATACAGCGCCTTATCATGTCTTCATGACTTCTCAAAACGCTTCACAGAATACACTGTAAAGTGAATTGACAGTATATTTTGTGGGCGAAACGCGGCAGCCAATTGCACACAGCAATCTCCCACAAACAGTCGTGGATTGTGACCAAATTATTATTATTTTTGAAGGGATTATTACTCCCCGAAAGCGATCCGCCAATCACCTAATAACTGTGTTCTTATTTACATAAACTGAGGTGTGAGGAGTAAGGAATCTTACCTTAGGTTTCACTGCTGGGAATGAAACCCAGGTCCTCTCGCTTGCGAGGAAAGTGCTCTGACCAATACGGTACACGACTCCTCAATAATGGTCGTTGCTTAGTCCTTGCCTTCTTTAGTGATAAATGTTTGAAATGATCTACCCAACAAGGTAATCGAGGCAAAGCATTGCGGTTACTTAAACAACAGTTGGATACCACGAGGGGAGAATAACGTACCAGAGGAACGAGAGTCAAATGGGCCAAATCTTTGACGTGTCTTAGATACTAAGTTTGTGAAGGAGTCTTTCACGTAGTATTTTATCAAACGCTTTTTAGGAGTCTAGATATACGATGTCATATAGCTTCCCGCAGTAAATTTGGTTTTAATTCTTCCCACATCCTAACTTCATGTGACTGTGCAGCGTGTGATTCTGCAACTGATTCCTTACCGCACTTTAAAAGGTTTACTGCTCCTAAAGGAACGTTTCTGCAGTCTGCCAGCTGAGGCAGCCGAGCAGGTGACAACGTTGATACGTCAATGGCATTCCTGAAAATGCTTTTAAAGTTTCAAATTTTTGCAATGATTACACCTGATTGCAATAGTTCCATCTGCAGGGTGTGTATCAACACATCCGCAGCAATTACATTACGAGCGTGCAACACACTGAAAGAAAAACAAATACAAAGCACTGAAAGAAAGTCATCGCAAACGCACTGAAAATAAAAGCCTTGCAAAAAGGCTGAGCTCTTATCACACCACAATGAGAGATAGCAAAGTTGGGACTAATTTACAATCTTCTGAGAATTGACCCTTTGAGTGTCACGGGCAACCCCAAGATTGGGCAGATAATTTGACATCTCAGGAAACATCTCA